ACTCAATTGTGTGTGGGGTTCCGCCCGTTTTATTTTTGTACCAGTCAACTGGGGTGGGGTACCGATCCAGTGTTAGTTTTGTATCGTCAACTGTGTGTGAGGCTGACTTTGCAGTGTTAGTTTGACCCAGCAAGTGTGTGAGGAATGATCCAGTGTTATTTTGTACTCAGTCAACTGTGTGTGAGGTAGACTCCGTGTTGTTTTACTCGTAACTGTGTGGAGGTATGACCCTGCAGTGTTAGTTTGTACTCTCAATGTGTGTAGGAACGATCAGTTTTTATTTTTGTCCAGTCAACTGTGTGTGAGGATGTCTGCGTGTTAGTTTGTACTCAGTCAACTGTGTGTGAGGTACCGACTCCAGTGTTAGTTTGTACTCAGTCAACTGTGTGTGAGGTACCGACTCCTGCAGTGTTAGTTTGTACTCAGTCAACTGTGTGTGAGGTACTGACTCCTGCAGTGTTAGTTTGTACTCAGTCAACTGTGTGTGAGGTACTGACTCCTGCAGTGTTAGTTTGTACTCAGTCAACTGTGTGTGAGGTACTGACTCCTGCAGTGTTAGTTTGTACTCAGTCAACTGTGTGTGTGGTACTGATCCAGCGGTTATTTGTACTCAGCAACTGTGTGTGTGGTCGACCCCCTGCAGGGGAGTTTGTACTCAGTCAACTGTTGTGAGGTATGTCCTGCAGTGTTAGTTTGTACTCAGAAACTGTGTGTGAGGACTGACTCCGCATGTTAGTTGTACTCAGTAAACTGTGGGAGGTTTACTGACTCCTGCATGTTGTTTTACTCAGCAACTGTGTGTGAGGTACTGACCCCTCGTGTTGTTTTACTCAGTCAACTGTGTGGTGGTACTGATCCTGCGTGTTAGTTTTTCTCATAACTGTGTGTGAGTACTGATCCTGCAGTGTTAGTTTGTATCAGTCAACTGTGTGTGAGGTACGACCTGCGTGTTAGTTTTACTCAGCAACTGTGTGTGAGGTCCCTGCTCCGAGTGTTGTTTGTACTCAGTCCTGGTGGTGAGGTACTGACTTCTGCGTGTTAGTTTGTACCCGTAAAAGTGTGTGAGGTACGACTTCTGCTTTTTAGTTTTTTTTCTCAGTCAAGTGTGTGAGGTACTGACTCCTCAGTTTTAGTTTGCATCAATGGTGGAGGAAAATGACCCCTGCGTTTAGTTTGTACTCCTGTGTGTGAGGTACTGACACCTGCAGTCTTATTTTGTACTCAACTGTGTGTGGGTACTGACCCCTGTGGCTTGTCTTCAGATGTTCCCAGACATGGAACAGAATTCTTCCCCCCAGGCTGGGGTGAAAAACCCTCACATCTACTCTTCCTGGGTGATGGATAAATTACATCGTCTTCACATTTATGCTTCTCCCTACTTTCTGTACTCGACTGAATAAGCCTACTGTGTAGGCAAACATTTCGGAATAAATTTTTTCCCTACCTTTGCCCTGTGTCTTACCTACCCAAATGTTTCCCCACGGTACTCCCCCCAAATGTTTCTCCGCAGGTACCCCCACAAGTTTCTCCAAGGTACTGGCACCTTTGGTCGAGTTGTCTTGTCGGACAAGGTGACGTCACAGTACCTAGCCATAAAGATCCTAGCCATCATAGTCATCGGCTCAAGCAGATAAAAAACATGTCAAAAATGAGAAGAACATCTACCTTTTTTTGGGCCTCACCCCTTTATTTTAAAACATTTTGTATCACCCCCCTCACTCCTCTCTCTTTCATATATATAAATTATTTACTTTTTAAAGAACCCGTATCAGCGCTTGGTTTCTGCGGTTTCGTTATCGCTGTTTTAAGCAGAAAAAAAAAAGGGGTACAGTTTAAAAAATTTATTTTTTTTTTTTTTATGTTGATTTCATAATTTTTTACTGAAAGGTTCATAAAAAATGGATTTGGGCAGCAAACTGGGACACTGGGGACTGCAAACGTTGTCTTCACCGCAGCAGCTTTATACCCAGCAGTGTAGCGCACCCTTTATCAAAAGCAGCTTTAAACAGCAGCTTTTCACGAGCAGCTGTAGCAGCGTTTATCAAAACAGCTGTGCAGCGCTTTATCACAGCAGCTGTAGAGCAGCTTATACGAGCAGCTGTAGCAGCAGCTTTATCACGGCGTGTAGCGCAGCTTTCATACAGCACTGTAGCAGCACTTTATCAAGAGCGCTGTAGCAGCAGCTTCATCACGAGCAGCTGAGCGCCTTTATCAAAGCGCTGTAGCAGCAGCTTTTTCAAGAGCGCTGTGCAGCAGCTTTATCCGGCGCTGTAGCAGCACTTTATCAAAGCAGCTGTAGCAGCAGTTTATCACGAGCACTGTAGCAGCGCTTTATCAGAGCAGCTGTAGCAGCAGCTTATCACGAGCAGCTGTAGCGCACTTTATCACGGCAGCTGTAGCGCAGCTTTATCCGAGCAGCTGTTAGCAGCAGCTTTATAAGAGCGCTGAACCGCTTTTCACGAGCAGCTGTGCAGCACTTCATCACGGCAGCTGTAGCGCCTTTTTTCAAGAGCAGTGTACAGCGTTTATCCGAGAGCGTAGCAGCAGCTTTTCAAGAGCAGCTTGCAGCAGCTTTTTTTTAAAAGCGTGTAGCACAGCTTTACCCGACAGCTGTAGCGCAGCTTTATCACGAGCGCTGTAGCACAGCTTTATCACGAGCCTGTAGCAGCACTTTTTACGAGCAGCTCTAGCAGCGCTTTATCACGGCAGCTGTGCACGCTTTTTCACGAGCGCTGTAGCAGCGCTTTTTCACGAGCAGCTGTAGCAGCACTTTTTCACGAGCGCTGAGCAGCGCTTTATCACGAGCGCTGTAGCAGCGCTTTATCCAGCAGCTGTAGCACCTTCATCCGAGCAGCTGTGCAGCAGTTTACACGAGCAGCTGTAGCGAGCTTTTATCACGAGCAGCTGTAGCAGCAGCTTTTTCAAGACAGCTGTAGCAGCAGCTTTATCAAGAGCAGCTGTCAGAGCTCTATCAAAAGGGAGCTGTAGCGCAGCTTATCCAGCGCTGTCAGCAGCTTTTTCACGAACCGTAGCAGCAGCTTTATCAAAAGCATTTTTAAACAGCAGCTTTATCACGAGCAGCTCTGCAGCAGCTTTTATCACGAGCAGCTGTAGCAGCGCTTTTTCACGACGCTGTAGCGCAGCTTTATCAAGAGCAGCTCTAGCAGCAGCTTTATCAAGAGCACTCTAGCGCGCTTTATTAAGAGCGCTCTGCGCAGCTTTATCAAAAGCGCTCAGCAGCAGCTTTATTAAGAAGCTGTAGCAGCAGCTTTATCCGAGCAGTTTTTGCAGCAGCTTCATCACGAGCAGCTGTAGCGACTTTATCAAAACACTTTTGCAGCGCTGTAGCGCGCTTTCACGAGCAGCTGTAGCAGCAGCTTTTTCACGACAGCTGTAGCGCAGCTTTATTCCCAGCACTCTAGCAGCAGCTTTATCACGAGCAATGTAGCAGCAGCTTTATCACGACAGCTTACAGCAGCTTTATCAAGAGCACTCTAGCAGCGCTTTACAGGAGCTCTAACAGCACTTTATCACGAGTAGCTGTAGCAGAGCTTTTTAAAAAGCACCCAGCGGGAGCTTTATCAAAAGCGCTGTAAACACAGCTTTATCACGAGAGGTAGCGGCTTTATCACAGCACGTAGCAGCAGTTTATCAAAAGCACTGTAGCAGAAACTTTATCACGAGCAGCTGTAGCACCTTTTTCAAAAGCAGCTGTACAGCACTTTTTCACGACAGGGAGCAGCAGCTTTTTCCGAGCGCTGTAGCGCACTTACACGAGAGCTGTACAGCAGCTTTATACAGCAAACTGTAGCAGCGCTTTTCACGAGAGCTCTAGGCAGCTTTATCAAGAGCAGCGTGCAGCAGCTTTATAAGGCACTGTAGCAGCAGCTTTATCCGACACTGTAGGAGTTTACACGAGCGCTCTAGCCAGCTTTTTTAAGAGCGCTGTACAGCACTTTATAAGAGGGGTGTACAAACGCTTTATCAAGAGCAGCTTAGCAGGCTTTTTCAAGAGGCTTAGCAGACTTTTCAAAAGGAGGGTCTTCAGAGCTTTTCCCAGCTGTTGCGCGCTTTTTGGCCTCTCCCCGCTTTTCGGGGCTTTTCCCTTTATCACGGCCTTACCCTTTTTTCCGGCGCTCTTTTCAGCACTTTTCGGCCGCTCTCGCGTTTTCCAAGGGTTGCACGCTTTTTAAAAACCCTTTCCCTTTTCAAACAGCTCAGCAGCAGCTTTTTCAACCTGTGCACACTTTATCACAGCTGACCCTTTTCGGCCCCGTTTGCAACTTTTTATCCGCTCTAGCCCCGCTTTTCCCTCTTAGCAGCAGCTTTTTAAGAGAGTTAGCAGCACTTATCAAAGAGAGCTGTAGCACCCGCTTTTAAGAGCAGCTTTGCAAGCTTAGAGCACTTCAAAAGGGAAAACCCTTTTTTTTTGGGTTTTTGGGAAATATGTGTGTAAATTTGGAGGAAAAAATTGAATTTTTGGGGCCCCAAAAATTTAGTCTGAAGTAGGTTACCAATGTATGGAACATTTAATAACAGAAAAGCATCAAACCTTTCATTCAGTAATTCTAATGTGATTCATACAATTGGGCAACATTTTGACGAGTTACACTAGAAAATGTGAAATCATCACATTACTGTCCAAAATTGACAATGTGAAATCATCCTGTCAATGTTCTCGCATAACCAATTGTCCCTTAAACGTTTTTGCCTATGTGGTAGGCTTCAGGAGAATGTATTATAGGCAGCAGAACTAGTGGCAAGATCTCCCACCTCACCTTCAACAGTATTTAAAACTCCATTCTCATGCTTCAGCTTCATACTGTTCCAGACGATAGAGCTGAACCCTTCACCATCATCTTTACCTCACCACTACTACTGTTGCCTACAATACATTCTCCTCTGAATTTGACTGATGAAGCCTACCATGTAGGCGAAGCATTTCAACAATAAAGGTACTACTCACTTGCTGCACGTCTCACTCATTAAGAAATACGTAGTTCTCCTTAACAACCTCATTGCCAAACAGTTCTCCAAGATCTCCAATTTTTAACTCAACATATCCACCACTGCCTCTGGTTGACAGTTGCAAAAACCAACAATCAGAAATACACTGGTAACGTAGAATCCTTTTAATGCAATGTTTTTCCCAAAGCTGTGCTTTATTAAGTATACAAGGATAAGGAAATTCACTCTTATAAAGCAAATGAGCACCATGAGGTCAGGCTCTGAGAAAGACAGGTCACATGTGAGGTCACAAAATTTTAAGATAAGTGTAATAAACATAATGAACAGTCATTTTAGCCCCACTCCTACTCTTCTATACCTGACCTCGCTTGACTTGATCTTAAAATTTTGTGACCTCATTTGCTTTATAAGGTGATGTATTCACTTATTATTGTATATTTGATAAGTGCAGCCTTGGGTGAAATGTATTAAAACAAAGAAACTCAGGTACCAGTGTCTTTATTGCCATCACTGCCTCTGCTGCCATCAAAGACATCATCAGACAGAAATACCAGAATCATCATTCACATCCAGAGATCTCCACAAACTCATATCAGAGCACCAACATGTCAGCAGATTGAACAACCTTAATGCTAGTGGAATACTCAGTAATTCAACTACAGTACTAGAATGGTTCATTACTTGTTGTCAGTGAAGACATCCAGAAAAGAATGTTTGAATCTGCACTCTTAAGCATCTCCAGCAACCTCAACCAGAGTAACTGTTTCTACAGCTTGGCTGAGTGTCTTGTCAGAAAACTACCTGGAAGCTTGAGAATCAATATAACGTGACGTGCATCACACTTGCTCTTCACCTTACTGTGCTCACCTTTCACTAGGTTTATCAGCCAGTGATGGAGTCTGCTGCATGGGCAAAACATCATCAGTAAATGTTGTTATTTGTTGCAAGTACTGGTACTTAGTTTATTCTTGTTGTTACTTGTTGTAGGTGCTGGTACTTCAGTTACTACCCTTGCTGCAGACACTGATACGTATGTTCTGATAACTTTTTTTTCCCTATCTTTCACTTGTCTTACCATTACTGTGTTTCAGGTACTGGCATCACCGAGATGATCGCTTCCTTTACATGTTGTTTGAGTATGTCTGTGGTGGGGAACTCTTTGCTTACCTTAGAAATGCTGGCAAATTTCCTATGACAACAGGTGAGTGGTGGATATCTGCTACTAGTGATTGATGGATATATTGCTTCAGTGTAGTGTTAGCATGCAGTGTACTGTTACTAGTGATTGACAGTATTGTTTACTAGTTGTGAGTAGTGCTAAACCCATCTGTCATACAGTGTCTTCATAGTGGGTGGTTATGAGGATAGAACCAAGGATGGTGTTCTGTAGCTCGATCGCTAGTGCACTCAGCTCACACACTAAGGTCCGGAGTTTGAATCTCCGGTATGGCTGAATAACATTAGGACGTGTTTCTATAAGACACCTGTTGTCCATGTTCACCCATCAGAATAAAATGAGTACCTGGGTGTTATTGGACTGGTGTGGGTCTCATCCTGGGACAAAATTGACCTAATTTGCCCAAAATGCTCTGCATAACAAGCGGCTTTCTATATAATAATAATAATAATATGATATTAATCCATTCCAGAGAGCTCATCGTATGCCAAAATTATCAGAAGGCGAATTAATTTTCCCCATAAGAAATAATAGGAAATCATATTAATCCGTGCAAGACGCCCAAAAGTGTGAAAAAAAAAATTTTACCACATGAAATATTAAGTTTAAACCATAAACGGTCCAAACGTTATATGTATACGTTTTTTCAACATTTGAAAGTATGTAAAAAAAGTAGATTCTTTTTGTTGTTTTACATTTGAAAACGTGTAAAAAACTTTGATTTACTTTTTTTTGTTATATTTGAAAATATGTAAAAAAACGTAGATCTACTTTTGTAGCGCTACACATGTGAACGTAGATCTGCTTGGACCGTTTACGGGTTAATGCACACAAACTGAAGAAGACATGCACAGTTTGTAGTACTCTACTAACAATAGAATACATGACACTTAACTTTATTGAAGATCTGGTGATGATTGATGGGATGGGAGGAGGGGAGAGTGTGGAACTTATTGTTTAGAAGGGGAATCCCCTTCCATTAGGACTTGAGGTAGCAAGTCCTTTTCCGGGGTTACTTCCCTTCTTCTTTTAATGCCACTAGGACCAGCTTCAGAGTCACTGGACTTCTGTTGCACAACATATCTGTCCATAGAGGCCTGTACCTCTCGGTCCTTTATGACTTTTCTAAAGTGGTTCACAACATTGTCATTGTAATAGTCACCAGCACGGCTTGCAGTAGCTGTGTCAGGGTGATTTTCATCCATAAAGGTTTTCACCTTTGTCCACATTGCACACATTTCTTTAATCTGTGAAGCAGGCAACTTCCTCAATTTCTCTATCCCCTCCTCCAAAGCAGTTTCCTCAGGTCTGGCCTCTTGCTGTTGAAGATGATCTAGCAGCTCATCAGTGGTTAGTTTGTTATTGTCCTCCTCCACCAACTCTTCCACATCCTCCACACTAACCTCCAACCCCAAGGACTTCCCCAATGCCACAATGGTTTCCTCAACTGTCATAGGATTCCCAGGGTTAGCCTCAAACCCTTCAAAATCCCTTTTGTCTACACATTCTGGCCACAGTTTCTTCGAAGCAGAGTTCAAGGTCCTCTTAGTCACTCCCTTCCAAGCCCTACCTATAAGGTTTACACAATTGAGGATATTAAAGTGATCCTTCCAAAACTCTTAGAGTCAATCGATTGTCTGTGGTCACTTCAAAGCACTTTTGAAACATGGCTTTTGTGTACAGTTTCTTGAAGTTGGAAATGACCTGCTGGTCCATGGGCTGCAGGAGAGGAATGGTATTAGGAGGCAAAAACTTGACCTTAATGAAGCTCATGTCCCCATAAAGTCGCTCTGCCAAGTCTGTAGGATGACCAGGGGCATTGTCTAATACCAGGAGGCACTTAAGATCTAATTTCTTTTCAGTTAGGTAATTTTTCACATTGGGGGCAAATGCATGGTGTAACCAGTCATAGAAAAAGTCCCTAGTGACCCATGCCTTACTGTTTGCCCTCCACAGCACACACAAATTAGCCTTGAGGACATTCTTTTGCCTGAACGCTCTGGGAGTTTCTGAGTGATACATCAATAAAAGGCTTCACTTTGCAATCACCACTAGCATTGGCACACATCAGAAGAGCAAGCCTGTCTTTCATAGGCTTATGTTCTGGGAGTGCCTTTTCCTCCTGGGTAATGTAGGTCCTGCTTGGCAATTTATTCCAAAACAGGCCTGTTTTGTCGAAATTTAAACACTTGTTCAGGTTTAAATTCTTCACTGTGTATGTAATCCTTGAATTTCTTCACATATTTTTCAGCTGCTTTTTGGTCCGAACTGGCAGCCTCACCATGCCTAATCACACTATGTATGCCACTACGATTCTTTAAAACTTTCAAACCAACCTTTGCTGGCCTTAAATTCACTCACATTACCACTAGTTGCAGGCATTTTTTCAATTAAATCGTCATGCAACTTCCTAGCCTTTTCACAAATGATCGCTTGAGAGATGCTATCTGTTTTTCATTTATTCACACCAATAACAGTCTCTCAACTTCTTTTAACACTTGCGATCTCTGTTTCAAAAACAAAGTTGCACCTTTTTTGCAACAACCTTCCTTGTTGCCCTTTTTCCTGGCCACTATAGTACGATGGTTGATTGGGTTTTTTTTATACAACCTGGCCACTCCCACAACGCACTACACTTTCGTACTTTTCAATTATCTCTTTTTTTATTTCAAAGTCATTAGCACCCTTTTTCTCGAAGGGTTGGCACTAGAAGCTTTTTTGGGGCCCATGGTGACTTATTTTGTGAAAAAGCACCAAAACACTGTAAAAATTGGAATGTCCGAATGTATCTCAATGCGGCCCCCTGGCGGGCTTGTAAAACGGGCACGCACGGGGTTTAAAGGCCACAACGTGGACATGCCCCCAAAGAATCGTTTGTGCAGGTTTTTAACGGGGGCGAGGCAAAATTTTTGCGAAAAATGTATCGAATCCCCAATTTAAACGTATACCAAGCCATCGAATCCGGGGTCCCTGTACTAGTTTATTTAACATATACATAGTTTTGGAGGGGGAATTAACAAGTTAAAAAGCTAGAAAAAAAGGATTTGTCGTTAAAAAAGAAGAAGGGGAGTTTAAAATGGAGATTTAAAGGGGGTATTGGGAAGAGGGAAGGAAAAATTTTTTGGGGAAATTTTTAAAATGTTGATAAGATGGGAAGCTGTGATTTCGGTTTGGGAAAGGGAGGAATAACCTTTGTAGGAGGGAAAGGCCATTGTAGTGTGGGGAAGTTCGTGAGGCTGGGGTAAATGAAGGGGTTAAGGCACCCGGATTGAGGGATAAAGATAAAAAGTTAAAAGCAGGGGGGGGGATATATTTTTGGAGGGGTTGGCAATTATTTAATAAATGTAGGGAAGGGGAAAGGTACCTAGGGATTGGCAGGAGCATGCTGTTCCTTTGTATAAAGGCAAAGGGAAAAAGAGAGGAAAAATATGGGGGGATAATCTGTTGAGTGTCCCGGGAAAGTTAGGTAAGTTATAATTGAAAGAATTAAGAGAAACGGAGAATAGGAAAGCAATGAACAAGGAGGCTTTGGGAAAGGTAGGGGTTTTTGGACCAGGTGTTACAGTGAAACATAAAAGTGACAGTATTTAGTAAGGCAAAGAGGTGTTTGTGGCATTTATGATTTGGAAAAGGCGTATGACAGGGTGGATAGGGGGAATGTGGCAGATGTTGCAAGTGTATGGGTAGGAGTATTTACTGAAAGCAGTGAAGATTTTTTAAACAGGATTGGGGTCAATTAGAGTTGTGGGAAAGAGGGGGAAATTTTTTCCCCCAGTAAAAGTGGGGGCCTTAGCAAGGATGTTGATTCCCCCGTGGTTGTTTAATAATTTATAGAGGGGGTTTTAAAGAAAAGTAAATGCGGGGGTCTTGGAAAGGAGGCGGGGGGAGTTAAAAGATAAAGAATCACACACAAAGGGGGAGTTGTCACGCTGCTTTTCTGATGACACTGTGCTCTTGGAGATTCTAAAGAGAAGTTGCAGAGATTGGGGATAAATTTTGGTGGGTGTGCAAAAAAAGGAAAAAAAGGTGAAACGGGAAAGAGTAAGGTATGAGGATAAAAAAAGTTAGGTGATGAAAGATTGAATATCAGATTGGGGAAAAGGAGTTGGAGGAGGTGAACGTATTAGATATTTGGGAGTGGACGGTCAGCGGATGGGTCATGAAAGATGAGGTAATCAAGAATTGAGGGGGAAAAAAGTGAGTGGGCATTGGAGTCTGTGGGACAAAGAACTTTGTCCTTGGAGGCAAAGAGGGGAATGTATGAGAGTATAGTTTTACCAACGCTCTATATGGTGGAACGTGGGTGTGAATGTTGCAGCAGGGGAAGGGTGGAGCAGTGGAGATGTCATGTCTGAGGGCAATGGTGGTGGAATATAATGCAGAAATTCGTAGTTTTGGGAAATTTGGAAGGGGGGCGGATTACCAAAAATGTTGTCCAGGGCTGAGAAAGGGTTGTTGAGGTGGTTCGGCAGTAAAAGAATGGAGCGAAACAGAAAACTTCCCAAAAGTGTATCTCTGTAGTGGGAAAGGGAAGGGGGGGGTAGGGGGCGGCCTAGGAGGGGTTGGGGGAGGGGGGAAAGGGTTTGTTGCGAGGGGGTTGGACTTCCGCAGGGTGCTGAGTGTTTGATAGGAGTGAATGGAGAAAATGGTTTTAATCTGAGTGCTTTGGGGTGTGGCAAAAATAACATTTTTGAAGGGATTTAGGAAACCCGGGAGGCCGGGCTTTAGTCCGGAGTGGGAAGACAGTGCCTGCCTCTGAAGGGGGGTGTTAATGTTGCAGTTTAAAAACTGTAGTGTAAAGCACCCTTCTGGCAAGACAGTGATGGAGTGAATGATGGTGAAAGTTTTTCTTTTTTGGGCCACCCTGCCTTGGTGGGAATCAGCCAGTGTGATAATAAAAAAAAAATAAATATTTTTATTTCAACAATTACATGTACAAGGTATACAAACCTAGCTGACATTAGCGACACACTAATATATAGAAAGCTGCTTGTTATGCAGACCATTTCAAACGAATTAGGTCAATTTTGCCCCAGGATGCGACCCACACCAGTCCACTAACACCCAGGTACCCACTGTACTGATGGGTGAACATGGACAGCAAGTCTTATGGAAACATGTCCTCATGTTTCCAGACACACCACACCAGGGATCAAACCCCAGACCTCAGTGTGTGAGCAAAGAGTTTCTGTTGAAGAGACTGACTGAGAGTAAATTCAGATTCAAATTTTCATTTCTTTGTATGCTGTACAAAATAATATAGTTTACATGTATGTAATAAAACATTGTTAGGCACAAAAGAAAACCACTGGTACGCAATACATCTCGGATAAACTAATCCTAATGTTTGAAGACTACTAAAGAATTAGACATGCTATGAAGTAGTATTTGTATGCAGTTAACTAAATTATATGCACAATTAGAAAGGTAGCAAAGGTATTCAAGATGCAATGTACATAGTATTCTACCTTTTAAGGTCAGTTTTCTTTAGTTAATGTGTAAATTATAATGTCAGATATCCTTTAGGTTAGACACAAAAAAATGGTCCTTCAAATTTTTAATTTAGGCTGAAGTGCACAAATAAATAAGAATACAGATTCATAAAAAGTTTTAAAGGGATAGTAAATATTAATTTAACCCTTTCAGGGTCGACAGGTCCTCTCAGAGACTTGTTCTCAGCATCGCCCAAATTTCAAAAAAAAAAAAATTAATTTTTCTTATGAAAAGATAGAGAATCTTTTCCCGATCATAATGACACCAAAAGTATGAAATTTGATGGAAAACTTACAGAATTATGCTCTCGTGAAGTTAGCGGTCTTGAAGATGTTTATGCATCGGCGATTTTGCCCACTTTGAGCCCTATTTTCGGCCAATTCCACTGTACTAGTCGACAGAATTCATGAATATTTCGCTAGAACTCTATTTTTTTCTATCAAATGAGTGCAAGAAACCACCCATTTACCGACTTCAACTATTCAATACAGTGGTCAGAATTTAGCAATTTTGCCAATTTCACACAAATATCAAAAGATGCCAATTTCCAAATAGGGTCCAGAATAAACAAGAAAGACATTCCTGGCACTAAAATGACATTTCCTCTGTTCATTAGTCACATCCCAGCGCCCCTTTTACATTCTTTTGCTTTCCGCTTTGAATTTTTATTCTCACAAAAAAAATAAGATTTACTGTTACACAGACTACTGCATTAGTGTAGAAATGGTATAAATAATATCAGCGCACTTGTGAAAGAATATTAGACTCACCAGTTGATGTGTATTGGATGCTTGGCATGGTTTGTTTACTTTTGAACTTTGGTAAAAATCGAGCATTTCTGCTACTTTAAGCTCAATTTCAAGGTACTTTTCATTGTAAAATCAGTCAAAATCATCTCAATTTCTGTAATATGTCTTCCATTCTATAGAATGAGACCAGGAAAACTAGAATGCAACAATAAATACCATACGAAAATACAGTGCAAAGTCGCTGTTTTAATCCAAAAACATGGTCAAAGTTTTTTTTTCTCATTACGCACTGTGTGCTGCTGGATTTTTTTTTATACTGTGCACACTGACCACATAGACCCATTCTTTCATATGTAGGCCTACCAGCTTTCTCTCACTAGATTTGAGGGCACTAGAATTTAGGCGTACTAGTACGTCAAAAACCCTGGTGCATAAGCCGTACTAGTACAGCCGAAACCCTGAAAGGGTTAATAGAGATGTATGTATATTCATATTTTTAATAATAATTTTGCTCTAAGAGATGCCTGGTCTCAGACCGGACCGTGGGGGCATTGACCCCGAAAACTCTCTCCAGGTATACTCCAGGTATGATATTTCAAGTAGTTGAGCCCTCTGAGACTAGAGAAGCAATTTACAGTTCGTCTTTGTAAATTTAATAGCTACAGGAAATATTACTGAATAATGATGTTAAAATAAATGTGGTCATTTTTGGCATCGGAGTAGGAGGATTAAAGTTTTTATCACTAAACGACAAATTATAGATGAAAGGCGAGGCATATTGCATTACTGGTGTCTCGTTATGTATTTTTTATTCCTGAAGGAATTTGTATAAATAGCTGCCTTTTTTTTATTAGTGGATATCATAAACATTCTTCATGGGGAAGTGGAACAGAATTCTTCCTCCATAAGCCAAGTGTGTTGCAAGAGGTGACTAAAATGCTGGGAGCAACAGGCTGGTAACCTGTATACATTACTAAATTTAAAAAATCAACTTTCGTTTTTCTTTTTAGGTCACCCTCCTTGGTGTGATATGGCCAGTTGGTTGAAAAAAAAGGATACCGTTGTCTTACGTGCAAGAGTTTTGTCTTACCATAAAAAGTACTCTTAAAATTATCAGTTTTTTGTATACAGTGTAAAAGCTAGACCTAAACTAGAATGAGTGGTTATCTTATGGAATAAATGGTTATCCTACAGAATGAGTGGTTAACTTACAGAATGAGTGGTCATCTTATAGAATGAGTTGTCATTTTGGAAAACAAATAACCATCTTAAAGAATAAGCAGCTGCTTGACAAAATGGGCTCTTACAGAAAGACAGTAATCTTACACAAAGGTGTTATCCTACAAAAAGATCTCATTAGTCATACAAAAAGAAACTTATCTGACAAAGAGCAGTCTTGAGCCTGTAATACAGTTGAGGTATCATAAAAAAAACAGGCTATGGAGTTAGGGCATCTTACATAAGACATAACTTACAACTCAAAGCTCATGAATCGCTTTCTACAATGTATAGTGCAGCTCTGAAAGTTGTAGGGGGTTGGGTTTCCTGAAGCTAACTTGAATTCTGAAACTGCATAGAATAGGAATACAGCAGTTGCCTGTCTGAGTGATTTAAAGTTTTGCCACATTTCTTTAAATATTTCTGTAACTGCATGAGATTGACCCAAGAAAAAATGACCCCATTTTCGATGAAATTCTACCACTGTGAGAGTTCACTGCACAAATAACCTGCACATAGGAGAAACAAACTTATGACTATGTTTCAGTTCGACTTGAATCATTAAATAGTGATAAACGTAAGATTCATTGTGTATTGTTCTACTCGTGGTATTGTGCTTTTGTATTCTTAAGAGTTTACTGTCTATTCAAAATTTGTTCCATATCAAATGCCTTGTCACATTTTATGGGGGGAAGAAGGTAAAGGGGCACTTAGGGTTGTTCCAAAATCTGTCTAAAGGGAAACACAGTAAAAACGTAGATTTTCTTTTCCTCAGCATCGTTCTACGCCTCAGAAATTGTGAGTGCCTTAGAGTACCTTCACTCCCTCTCTGTTGTCTACAGAGACCTCAAGCCAGAAAACTTGTTGCTAGACAAAGATGGACATCTCAAAATCACAGATTTTGGCTTTGCTAAGAAGCTTACTGACAGGTGTGTTGCCCTGATCAATCATCTTGTTATAAGAGCTGCATCATTATTTGCAACTTTGACTTCACAGTTGTATGATTTTTATTAAACTTTTAATATACTGTTACCAGGTACAAAATTCTGTTATTGTTAATATTTTCTTGGGTTGCTAAAGTCTATTTCACTGGTTAACAAAATTGAATGGTTTTCAGGCTTAAAATTTTAAAGCATTTATTGGAGATAAATGGGCTAAAATTCCCACACATTGGAAAACAGAAACTTCATCAACAAAGGAGACATTGATGCAGTACAGTGCAATCCTTTACTGATGACATTTCATTGTTATTAATAAAGGAAACATGGTACCTCATCAATGTCTTCTTTATTGATGGCATTTCATCGTCATTAATAAAGGATCACATTGTACCTTATCTGTTTCTTCTTTTTCTAGAACATTTATTAGCTAAATATTTTGTCTTTTTATCATGAATGAAAAGAAAGCTTATTGTAAAGAATTTGTAGCCTTATTTTCTAATCATCTACAAAGGGAATTTCTTTTTCAGTATTCATTGTGGCAATAATAAGGTGAACCATATTCCTGCATATACGTATGGTAATACCATACACAGAGTGCGGCCCAGTCCCTGGACCCATTATGTGTGTCTGTAATCTTATGACTACCACTCACAGGATGGATATGGGGTACATAATAAAGATGTTAAACTAGCGTATATGAAGGATCTTAAAAACTACGGAATGGGTGAGGTTTGAACCCGTGGCGAGTAAGTCGTAAAAACCTACCTGTTCTGTTTTTTCTTTCCAACTGTGTTATTACTATTTTGTGAGTCATGGAGGATCTTAATGTTCATTATTTTCAGGACATGGACCTTGTGTGGCACACCAGAGTACTTGGCACCAGAGATCATCCAGAGCAAAGGTCACAACAAAGCTGTTGATTGGTGGGCACTAGGTTAGTAGCTTTCATTAAATTCATTTTAAAGGATGAGTATAAAACTGTGTGTGGGGGCCCTGATTCTACCAGGATGAGTATAAAACTGTGTGTGGGGGCCCTGATTCTACCAGGATGAGTATAAAACTGTGCGGGGGCCCTGATTCTACCAGGATGAGTATAAAACTGTGTGCGGGGGCCCTGATTCTACCAGGATGAGTATAAGACTGTGTGTGGGGGCCCTGATTCTACCAGGATGAGTATAAAACTGTGTGTGGGGGCCCTGATTCTACCAGGATGAGTATAAAACTGCGTGTGTGGGCCCTGATTCTACCAGGATGAGTATAAAACTGTGTGCGGGGGCCCTGATTCTACCAGGATGAGTATAAAACTGTGTGTGGGGGCCCTGATTCTACCAGGATGAGTATAAGACTGTGTGTGGGGGCCCTGATTCTACCAGGATGAGTATAAAACTGTGTGCGGGGGCCCTGATTCTACCAGGATGAGTATAAAACTGTGTGGGGGCCCTGATTCTACCAGGATGAGTATAAGACTGTGTGTGGGGGCCCTGATTCTACCAGGATGAGTATAAAACTGTGTGTGGGGGCCCTGATTCTACCAGGATGAGTATAAGACTGTGTGTGGGGCCCTGATTCTACCAGGATGAGTATAAAACTGTGCGGGGGCCCTGATTCTACCAGGATGAGTATAAAATAGTATGCATGGTAAAGGCATTTGACAAATGATGGCCATAGGCATTACAGGGAAGGTAGGCAGATGGATTTTCGGGTTTCTAACACACACAACACAAAAATTCAGTGAGGTAAAAAGTTCAGTTTCCCAAAGCAGTGTCCTGGCACCTCTACTGTTTCATATCCTCATAGCAGACATAGATACAAACACCAGTCACAGTTTTGTATCATCATTTGCAGATAACACTAAAATAAGCATGAAAGTCACTACAGTAGAAGATAGTGAAAAATTACAGGAAGATATAAGCAGTGTTTTCCAATCGGCAGTGGAGAACAGCATGACATTAAGTGGTTCCAGCTGCTTAGGTATGGAAAGAATGAAGAACTCGACAGGAACACTGTATACAAAACTCAAGAGGATCATCATTTACAACAAAAGGAATATGTGGAAGACTTGGGAATGATTATGTCAGCTGACCTTTCTTTCAAAGAACACAATAAGACAAAGGTCAAAACAGCCAGGAAGATGAATAAGAAAGGAATAACAATAGCAAAAAGGGATTATGAGGCTAAGGTTGCCAGGGATTCAAAGACTAACCCAAAAGGGTTCTTTCAGGTATACAGAAATAAGATTAGGGACAAGATAGGCCCACTTAAGAGTAACTCTGGTCAGATCACTAACAGTGATAAGGATACATGTGAAATTCTCAATACCTACTTTCTCTCAGTATTCACCCAGGAAAATATTAGCGATATTCCTGAAATAATAGATTATGTAGAACAGGACGATAATAAACTATGCACGATTGCAGTAACTAGTGACATGGTCCTCAGACAAATAGAGAAACTAAAATCTAACAAATCCCCAGGTCCTGATGAACTGTTTGCAAGGGTGTTAAAGGAATGTAAAGAGGAACTTAGCATACCTTTGGCTAATCTTTTTAACATATCACTAAAAACTGGCATAGTGCCTGATAAGCGGAAAATGGCAAATGTAATACCTATTTACAAGGCAGGTGACAGGTCCTTGGCTTCGAACTATGGACCAATAAGCCTTACCTCGGAGAAGTGGTAGATGCAGTTTAATATAGACAAATGCAAAGTTCTAAATGTTGGACAGGAAAATAACCATGCGACATATAAACTAAATAATGAAGATATTAATACTACTGATTGCGAAAAGGATTTAGGAGTTCTGGTTAGCAGTAATCTCCTCTTCAAGGGGGGCTCCTTGGCGTGGTGAAGAGGCTCTTGGTCTGAGGAATTAGACCTGTCAGTCTCCTTCCTCAGACCGAACCTAATTACCCCCCAATCCCCCGTTCCCTATCCCATCCTCCCCTTTTTCCTTTCCTCCTCCTCCTCCCCACCCCTCCCTTTTGCCCTTCCTTTTTGGCCTTTGGGATTTTTTTTTTTTTTCCCCACAGGCACGCTAGTTCCTAGATAGGGGAAAGGGTACCGGGGTCCATCCCATTCCGTTGAGGTTCTTGGCGGTGGCGTAGTTTGCCGTGGAATCTGGATTGCCTGGGGATGTCTCGATCCCTCTCCGGTATCCCGGAGGGTGGCTTTGGGTGTGTCTCGGGCGACGGGTGTATCTCTGGAAGCCACCTTTCGGATTCCGGAGGTGGCGGCCGAAGGAGGTATGCTTTGTGGCGGATTTCCGACCGCCCTCTCTTTTGTCCACCGAGGTAGCTCGGCAGATGTGAGGTTGGTATCCCGGATTGTCGGTTTACTGGCATGATGGGTAGGGTATGGCACGGGTTCCATGCTGCATCTGCGCTACTTGCGGTGCTGAGGTCCTCTTGGGCGCGGAGGGAGATTTCTGGCCCTTTCATTCCTCCTAGGAACTATCCCTCCCCGGTCCCCCCCCTTTTTTTTTTTTATTTTCTTTTCTTCTTTCTTTTTTTTTCTTAAAAACAAAAAGAAAGAAGTAACCTAACCATGGCAGCCCTAGTCCATGAACCTGCTACCCCCGGGCCCCTTCTTGATACCGCACCCCGTTCTGACCCCGCCTCATCTTTGGACCACTCTTCGAGCACTCCTCATGCCTCTGTACCTCTTGCCGGTGCTGTTTCCTCACCCGCTTCAGGTACTGAGGCCTCGACTGACTCCTTCGATTTATCTGACCTTCGCTCTCCTCTGACTATGCTTCCGGCCTCTCCCTCTACAGTGCGGCAATTTTCGAATTGCCGGCCCATTCCACGTCGGACCACCTCTGGTCCCACGCCTAAACGCCAACGACAATTACCTGCTGATGATACTTCTCCACCTTCTCGTTCTTCTCAGAAAAGATCGACACGTTCTTCACTACCTTTCCACGCTCAGTTTCAGACTGCACAATGGACTAAATTCTTCACTTTACGACCAACTTCCTCTACTGCCTATCTTTCTGACCACAGTATTGGCAAAGCACTCCTACGCCATGTTGGTAAAGATATTTCTTTTCATGCTCTTAAGAGCGGTACGCGCATCATCACTGTACAGAATGCTACCCAGGCTCATGAGCTTTCTCATCTTTCCCATATCGATACTGTTCCTGTCACTATTGAAAAACATCATTCCCTCAATTCTTGTAGTGGTACCGTCATTCTGCCCCATACCATAGTTCAACAAAATTTCCAGACATGTGGCACTGACATTCTTGAACAGCTGGAACTCCAAGATCTCCCAATCCTCAAGATTGACACTTATGTTCTTCCTGCCTGCGGGAGGAGACGATACCCTAGCAATGTGGCTCGTTTAACTTTTGACAGCCGTGAACTCCCATCCTCAGTTTATGTAGCAGGACATCGGTTATAAGTTCGAAAGGTGATCCCTACACCGCAACAGTGTAGAAATTGCTGGCAATTTGGCCATCCAGCGAAATATTGCAGATCTATCGCCGAATGCCCGGTCTGTGGTGCCGATGACCATTCTAATATGTCTTGCAATCGACCTCCCTCTTGCCTTAATTGTCATGAGGCTCACCCTTCGTACTCTCGCCATTGTCAAGTCTACTTAAACGAGCGGGAAATCCATTACCTCAAAGAGGCAGAAGGTCTCCCTTATGCCATGGCAGTTTCTCATCTCCGCCTCCAAGGGAGACTACCTCGTGTTTCTTATTCCCGTGTTTCAAAACGTCCCCCCACTTCTGGGACCCCATCTTCTGCAACCACCTCTGTGGTTACCTCTCCCATAGTCACTCCTGTATCTAATTCTTTTGTTGTCCTAGGCTCAGACGTCCCTACTTCAACGCCTCAGTCTGATCTCGCTTCTTTGTGTTCTCCCTCACAAGCCTCAGTAGCGACGAGATCTCGTATGACACCTCCTCCTAATCGTCCCTCTACTTCTCAAAAGTCAAAAAAAGGTCTGTTAACACCTCCTACCCATCTTCCACCTCCTCATTTTACCTTCCCTGTCTCTGTACCTGGTTCTTCCCCTCTCACTGGCTCTGTTACAAGTGTAGAGGTTCACCCTCCTCGTCATACTGTACCTTCCTCCCCTGTTCCCTCCCAAGTTTCTTCCTCTTCTGCCACCTCCCAGGTTTCTGCCTCTTCTGTCCCCTTCCACGCTTCTCCAGTTCCCTCTGCCCTTTTGCTCCCCCCTACCTTGGTACAGTCCATTACAGTTCCAATCTTTACTCATCCTCCCCCTACCATTTCCAATATTGTCTCCCATACAACGTCTCTGAATTCCGAAACACTTGAAGCAATCTCTGAATATATTGCAGAGACCAAACCATCAATGGACACTGATCCACCCTCCGTTCCTTCTCTCTCCTCTGCTCCATCTGCGCAACTCTTTTCTTCACAGCGCACCATTCCTTCGCTGCTTGAACGTTTTCCACTGCCTCCGCATGTGGACTTTTCTAACCCCTCTAGTCTGTAGGAACCCTTACCTGCGGATTTCAGGTATCTTTATCATTGCCAATCATGGCCTATTTACAGTGGAATATACGCGGCCTCAGGGGTAATCGGGGTGAGCTTCAGATGTTACTCTCCCAGTTTTCCCCTGTTGGTGTTTGCTTACAGGAACCAAAATTACACTCTGCTGTTATCTCTCCCATCTCAGGCTATAATTTATTGTATTCTTCAGATCCTTTTCCTGATGGGACCTTTAATGAAAGTGCCCTTCTTCTACGCACTGATATTCCGTACCATCAGCTATTTGTTCGTACTTCGCTGCATTACACAGCAGCCCGTATCCACTTGCATAGGTGGTATACGCTCTGTTCTTTATATCTCTCTCCTTCTCGGGCATTATCTATTCCGAATATTGCCTTTCTTGTTTCGTCATTACCGCCACCAATTCTGTTACTTGGCGATTTTAATGCCCACCATTTCCTCTGGGGGG